ACCGGAAACAGAACCTGAAAGGAGACAAGGACAGAGAAAGCCTTCCTCTGGACCAGTGCCCTGCATCTTGACTGCTAGCCTCCTGAAGTGTGATGCAATAGTCTTCTGTTTATGAAAGCCACCCACTTGTGGTGTCTCTGTTACAGCAACTCTAGGGAACTGAGACACCAGCATCCACTATAGTACTTCCATTCACTCAGGTGCCTAAGCCAGAACGCTCCCTCTCCCAACCATGCAATGTCCACATCACTTCAAGCATCTCCTCCTTCCATGCTGAGGACAACCACGTGGGTTGACAAAGCTCACCAGGACCCTATTTGGGCTTCTTCCCATGTCTCCCTCTATCCATGAAGTTACCACATTGCTGCCTGACCATTTGCAAAGCCCAGCTATATCATCTCCTCTGCCTGAAGAAAACAAACTCCTTAGTCTGGCAGTAAGTTAAAGATGTCAGATCTAGCAAATAAAACCATAGGGTGCCAGTTAAATGTGAATTTCAGATAAACAACATATTTCATTTTAGTATAAGTATACCCCATGCGATATTCAAATTCCTGGTCTCAGTTATCACTATCAACTGTCGTGGGATATGCTTATGCTAAAACTCTATTTGTTGTTTCTCACGTTTCACTGGCATCCAGCGTTTTATCACCAACACTGCACCAAGGCCTCTGCTCCTGTGCTAAGGTGAGATACCATCAGCAAGCTCCCCCTTTCCTCCTTACAGGGTCTTGAATTGCACTCAACAACTCACGAGGCAGCCGTATGAGAGTTTAAAACCAGGGGCACTTGGTGTGTGTGGGTAGAGTAGTCTGAAAGAGGAGCCTTATGTCCGTTTCAAAGTCTTGACACAAGTCTAGGATCCATGTTGAATTTTAAAGCTGCCTCATAGCAGCTCCTCTAACCTTGTTGCTGACCATATTCCCTAAGAGCACATCCTTTTGCTCTGAGGTCTGGCTGGTGGAGAATATCACAATCTATTCCCAGAGGGTGTTTCCATGATGGCCAAACAGATACAAGACGTGACAGCTTACACCCGAAGGGTCTCAAGCACATCATGTTCAATACATCGTTATGATGAACCCGCAGAAACAGATAAGATGGAGAAAGCAATTTTTATAGCAGCTTAAACCTGTCCTGCCTTTGTCCTGTGACCCTCCCGTAACAAACTGAAGAGTGTGCATGCATGCAATTACGTACCTTCACCAACCGTGTAATCCCACATATATGTTATCCCCCAGTCCCCACTAAGTGCCTGCTCTCAGACATCCTGCCTTTGACTCCCCTGATTGGCTTTCAGCCAGTTTTGTAACTTTCAGTTCCATCTCCAACTGTACAGAATGTTGTTCACCTCACTGTCTGACAGAGCGGCCATCTCCACTCTGTGAAATTTGGGTGTCTTCCTGGTCCCTATCCCTTAATAAACCTTTTACTTTTACTTAAGCAGATTCCGTGATGTTGCCCTACGATAGTGGCACAAATGGTGTGCATCCAACTACTAATAGTGGCACCATAGAAAAAAGGCGTGGTGATCCATTTCTGTAAAAAATCCCAGACGTTCAAAACCCTGTGGAGGGCAGTTCTACTCTGTAACAAACGGTCGCTATGGGTCGGACAATGGGTTGGGTCAAAGGAGCTCTGGTGGTGTAGTCCTAAGGCACTTGACTGCTAACCAAAAGGCTGGCGGTTCACACCCACCAGCCACTCCTCGGAAGGAAGACTGGGCAATCTACTTCCGTAGAGATACCACTTCAGAAACCCAAGGATGGCAGTGAGTTTGTTTTTTGTTTTTTATAATGTAGCAAGCGCTCCCTGCCCTGGCATTGGCTCCACGCTCCCCTGGGTCTGGGATTTGCTTTCTCCCATTCCCTCTCCTTGCTGGTTAAAATCCCAATGGGCTCAGCTCAGATGCCACTTCCTCCAGGAAGTCACCGTGATCAGCCCTGCAGCTGCGCCCTCTGTGTCCTTAGAGCCAGTGACTCCTTGTGGCTGCTCTCAGCCACTGCGTGCCCAGTCTTGGGTACTCAGCAGGCCCCTGTCCTCTCCGTCCCTCCTCGGCATCCCTCACAGTATCACACCCGGGGCTCAGAGCAGAAGTGAAGCTCACCCCAGGCTCATTGCATGAATGGATGTGTAAGGGCCCTGATCCTTCCAGAGAGGACCATCTTCCCTCAGAGAACAAAGCCTCCTCCATCTCCCTGTCTTCTAGGTTCCCAGAAGGAATCTGCTGTGTTCCTGCCGAGTCATTCACCTCCTTTGTTATCTATCGCTGGGGGATGCCCTGGGGACTGGCTGTTCATTCGGTGGCTGTGAAGCACCAGCACCCACTGCTCCTGAAGGGAGACCTGCTCTGCTCCCCGAGCGAGAGCTCTTCCGACCAGGAGGAGAGAGGACGCAGGGCCATAGATGGGTGGTGCTTGTCTTAGTCTCTTGGTGCTGCTACAACAGAAATACTGCACTACCGTGAGTAACTTGGTCTGGCTTTTCTAACCAGTCTTGGCGACTCCCACCAGATTACTGGGTGGGACCATGCAAGTAAGGTGTATGGAACTCTAATATGGGGCTTGGTTACTTTTGCTATGCAGCTGGGCTTAAAATGAGCCCACCTAGAGGCAGAAATGGGAGGATCACACTGCCGTCCAGAGAGACTAGCTGGAGGTGGAGTTAAGCAGAGCCTGTCCTTGGACCCGAGATCCCTGCGCTGGACCTCCTTGGCAGAGACTTGGCTGAGACAACTGGCAGCGATGACTGCCTAAAACAACTGCCTGAGGAACCAAGAAGCACAAGATAGAGCTGCGGGCTTGTTGGCCCACAGAGCAAGAAGCTGAGTGCCTTTGGGCAGGAGGCTAGCTGGTGGAGCAGGGTGCACCTAGGTGTGCCTATTGGTAGAGAGCTAAAAGAGCTTTGTGACACTTAGCTCCGCAGGGCAGAGACCAGGCTGAGAGGCCAAGGGCCAAAGAGGCATGCCTAAGGACTAGCAGGGGGAGACTGTACTGATGGAAGAATTGTGTCCTGAGAGGTTCCTGAAATCTGAATTGTAGGCTGTCACTTTCCTAAAAAACCCCGTCATCGTGAGTATTGCCTGTGAGTTCTGTGTGGCCATTACGACAAATTATCAAACCCAGTAGAGAGGTAGTGAGTGCCGTGAGAGGGACAGTTGGTGTCCGAGTTTGTAAAAAGGTTTGGAGGGTGGTGGCATGTCTGGGCTAAGCCTTGGGCTGCTGGTGGTAACTCTGTCTCCCTGTCGTGAAGTTAGAGGAGGTGGGAGGATGATTCTGCTCCCACGCCTTTTTTTGCAAAAACCCATGCGGGTGGCTTTAAGAGACAACAGTTCTTTCCTCACAGTTCTGGAGGCTAGAGTTCAAATTCAGGTACCGGCCCTGGGGAAAGGCTCTGTTTCTGTTGGCTCTAAGGAAAGATCCATGACTCTTTCAGCCTCTGTACCCCAGCATTCCCAAGTGCATGGCATCTGTCCCCCTGTTTTGTACTTCCTCTGTCTCTAATCCACTCTTCATAACTCAGAAGTGGTAAGGTTTAGGCCATACTCTACACTGACACGGCCTCATTAATATATCAAAGAAAACCTGTTCCCAAAATGGTTCACATTCACAGGAATAGGGTTAGAATTGACAACACATATTTTGGGGTGCATAATTCAATCCACAGGAGGGCATAGGACAAGGGTGTCATTGCTGATGTCAGATGGTTCTTGACTGAAAGACCACTAAAGGAAGGGAGAAATGAAGTCAGGTCACCTGAGAAACCCTGAGCTTGAGGGCAAGGCGGACAGGGCCCAGTTACATCTTGTCTACTCAGAATGAATAGGTTTTGGCCAGTGGCTTTGCCAACCGACACCATGCCAATTTCCAAGAGCCCATACTTGTCGGAGTACAATGCTTTCAAAAGGGGCCATGGTGGAGAAATACCTAGTGTCAGTCTATTAAAATGTTCTCAAATATTGTATATAGGGTCAC